GTTTAAAGGGTCGGTATATGTAGAGAGAGGAGGGGAGGGTTATGGTCTCTCAGATGTGCTCTCGTGTGCGTCCTCGTCGTTACGACATCTTCCACAACGGCATTAACGTCGCATTCTCAGATCGACTGACCCTGTTCCCTAATGCTGCCTGATCTCATGATAGAAGGATTACACGTTATCCTTTTACCTACCGCCTAGTGGGTCCATTGCTACAGCATTACCTATATACTCATTACGTCGTACGTTGACTGTAACGTCACGCTGACGTTCATTGCCGTGACATTCATCACAAGACGCATGCTTTGCAACATGGCTGACCTAACTTGCATTTAACATCGAAACCTTCCCTATTGTGAGGCGTTTGTATAAAACACACCTAAATCCAACAGATTTAACACAGACTGGCCTAATTTAACACAAGACAGGCATCCTAAACAACGACGTGTTCATGGTCCCCCCATAGGCAAGAGACATTGACTGGACAACGGCTGGACATAGGTCAGTATCGACCAACACATAGTTGGTATAAAATCTTAAATCGCTGTCTGGACAAAGAAGAATAACTTCGATAATTTAGATATGGCACAGTGTATACCGTTCAACCGTTGATTAGGATACGGAAACATTTTATTCATAACATATCCTTACTTTATATATTCCGACTGGCATGACCTGGAATAATGGTTTCCATATTCCGATCTGGCTTCCGAGGATAGACGCTTGGGTGGAGACTGGATATTGCTTCTAACTGCCATTCAAAGATTTCATCAAATATATCATCACCCATCGATAAATGCTGAGTGTCCAGACATTCAGAGGTGAGTACGATCTGTCAGTCACGCTCGGCGTCTACGCAAACCACAATCGCCCTCTCCAGTAGTAACCCAATGTTCAGCAGGGTATATTTTATAAATCATTAAATGTCAAATAGCATCGCCCTCGATAACCTCCAGGGTATACGTTCCGATAAATCTCCACTATAGTGGTGATTTATCGGCACGTATAACCTGGAGGTTATCGAGGATGTTATAATATATAATATACATATATAACCATACAGCTGTTCATTGTGACACAATGTTTGAGTCGTGCCCCAACCTTGCAGTTCTAATAGTTCCGCGTCCTTACGTATCTAACACGTAAAACTGCAAATATAATGTGTTCCCTGCCTTTGCTGACCAGGATATTATCATAGAAGGCATTAATAGCCATGACACCGGCATATTGTTACTGTGACTTTCTACGCACTTGACGGAGTGACGGCGCAGATTAGTAGTACTCGTCATTATGCCTTGCCTCGTATTGTATCAAAGGTCGTTTTTCTATACAACAGTGTGCATAATTACGGTACCCACTGTTTGACCTCTGTGAAGGACATACAGACATGTTGACAGCCAGTTATCTCGGTTAGGAAACATTCAAGGCCACGTTGCCCCAAAGTGCACACAAAGCGCACACCGATAAAGCCACTTAGTACCACTAAAAAATCAGGGCACCGATAACGGCAATAAATAGATAACGACAAGACCGGGTTATGACAGGTTATTGAATCAGCTGATCACTGAAGAACTGCCATATTACCGAAGTAAATATAAGGGGTTCCTGCTACCTCTCAATATCCCGTCACATGGGGTGGGTTCCTGCTTCATCTCTGTATCCCGTCTGGGGTGGGCTCTATCTGTATCCCGTCGCATGGGGTGGGCTCTAGTTAACCTTCTGTATCCCGTCCTCTGTATCCCGTCACATGGGGTGAGCTCTAGTTAACACTCTGTATCCCGTCACATGGGGTGGGCTCTAGTTAACACTACTTATCTTACCTTCATGTGAAATACTTTAATTTCATTGGTCAATGAGGCTTTAACAAGTTTCCATGTCACCTCTCCCAGGAGGGTGACAACTCGAAAAAATATTACCCGCTGCCACGGTAACCGCCAAACTCTCCGCCGAGAAGCTGTATCGCTGACAATCGTATGACGTCATAATATGACGCATGTAGTGTCCGGAGTTCGAAAACCGTTCGATTAGCTGTTTTCGAGTTCACTATATACACCTTTATTTTACCGACTTTTACTGTTTTATTTAAACTATTTTATACATTAAGTCGTTTGCACACTCAACTTAAACATAATTAACCATTTTGATAGCAGTGTTAAGCTTGTCAGAATATGTTTCACTGATTTAAAAATCCAGTCGAGAGGCAGACGCCATTTTGCTGACATGTCATATAGTCGGTAGCGATATTTAAAATAAAATGGGAGATAACTCTAATCTGTTTTTCTTGTCAGCAAAATCTAGCGATGGCTACAAAAAGATTGGTACCCGTCCTTCAACCAATTCAAAATTAACATTAAGGTGTTCGGTAAGATAAATACGTTGTTCACTGGTCCCTCGGGGCCCATGGGTTGATGTACCCTCTCGTGACCGGTGAACAACTCATAGTGTACAGAAACTTAGTCACATAATAAATAATGTTTCGCAAGTAGCGCATCAGCGAGCAGCTTCTGAAAACGTTTGACAAAATATATGTAATAAAATACGCGACGTCCATGACTAATAGTCTGAAAGGGGCGACACCCGGCAGGCCTAGGGTTAACAGTCGGTGAACACCACTGACTATGACAATACAAGAATGTCCGCTCACGTTTCTTCACGTGTGATCTATGACGCCATACTGGTTAACGAGCCCATGTAGCTGAAACAAGTCATACCCCTGTATCAAAGTTTGAAAATAATGTACGTTTTGTCACATCACTCGATTTTTATGTTTTATCTTTTGCGACTCCAATATCATTTAAAATAATGTGGTTGTGTGAGGGGACATAGTGTTTATCGTCGCCGTCATGTGTTTTGCGCTTATGAAAGTTATGTAAGGATATGACTATACAGGTGCTGACGGGTTGAGTAAATGTGTCTACCCGTACGGACTAATGCCGGTTTCAAAGAGCTACTGCAGTAAGACACCATGCCTCGGTTAAACAAGGATACAATGCCCTCGTCAGAGTTTTTATTTTATCTCCTTAAGACTCATGGGCAGGGTAACATTACATACTAGTTTAACGTCTTTTTAGTAGCACGTGGCCGTAGATCGAAACACCGACCGAGCACTGTCAGGGCTGATATTCTATCCACTGCACCACCGAGGCGGTAGGTGTTCTAATATTACCAACACAGATAACAGTTAATCCTAAATATTAGTTCAGCCATAAAGGAAACATTTTGTCACATTACGTCATAACTGCTGAAGCTAGGTTATGTGATTTCATTTTTATCGATTCTGATTACTTATTCGTGTTTGTACCCTACAATCGTGGCCTATCCCACAGAAGCGGTGTTCAATATCTTTACAAACATTTCATTCCACCAGTTGCTGCCTGCTGTAGGCTTATCAGAACGCCCCATTAACCACATCCAATGTTACGTAAACACTACTGGTTATAACATGCGAGGACATGCTTGTTTCAGTTGTAAATCCAGTCCTTGGATGATGAGTGGCTGTACATTTCACAGTACACACCCTGTGAATATCCAATGATACCCCGGTAATCAGAGCGGAACCGTTTTCCCTTCATAATGGTCCAAATATACTATCCAATGCTACTGATAATGTCCTTTATACTATATGTAGACATAGCTCTGTCGGTTTTCAACGCTTCACTCAACAATATGCCTGTTATTGGAAGGATGCCAGACACGACGTCAACCAACCACCCGACCCATTAAGTCGCCGTTTTCGGTCAACATTGTACCCGTGGAGCAAGATTGACAAAGTATACTGAGGGGCAAAAGAACCCCCACATCTCAGTTGAGTGTATGTTTTATTTACATTTAAAATCTGTTATGTTAGCGAAACTATATTCAGTATGATAGTTGTCCACAGTATTATCTGTGAGTTCGGGGCGGTGGGGTAGACTAGTGGTTAAATCGTTCGCTCGTCACGCCGAAGACTCGGGTTCGATTCCCCACATGGCTGCAATGTGTGAAGCCTATTTCTGGTGCCTCCCGCCGTGATATTGCTGAAATATTGCTAAAAGCGACGTAAAACTAAAGTCACTCAATCATTCACTGTGGTGATATTTTACTGTAGTGTTCCATGCGCTTATTTACCAGCTGATTGCTGCCCCTCACACGTAGCCCACCCCGTGGGAAGACAGATAATGCCGGTTGATAGATTCATTGTGCAGTGTAGTTCACGTCACATCATGTCATTTAACTACTCTCCGACCACGTACCAGAAACATGTGCCATCCCCGGGACCTCGTGGTTCATAGTACATGCACGTATGAATATGTTAACACACGCGTGTACTTACATAAGTTAAGTTTCAGAAACATCAAGTTGATAAAAAAGCACGCACCCAAAACTAATTAAAACATCTACTACTAAAGCAAGGGCCACCCATTTATTTCTTATAACTACATTTGATATATTATGCCATGGTTGATTGTCCTTCACGTTTTGAATAGTCTAAAGGTTCAAGAGATAGCAACTGACGTAACTCTTGCTGGGATCCAATCAATTCCACGCCATCAAATTATCAATTCGACGAGACCAAATTAGACAACATTCAAAATATTAACGAGATATTTGGAAAAGAGGCCGCTCTTAGCTACATGATTATAATGTTGCACCATGTTTTGGGATTGTCAACTAGAAATCTACATGACTAAATTGCCTACCGCATATAATACCATTAGGTTTAAAAGAAACCCAGAAAGCAAACCGACGACTTAATGAAACTATTTGTACAGGTGACAAATACTATTCACACAAGTTAATGTGTGTGTGTTTGTGTGATGTGTGTGAGAGAGAGAGAAAGAGAGAGGGAGATAGAGAGATAGGGAGAGGGGGAGGAGCTAATCAGCGAAACTGCAGTTCATGCCTTTGAAGGGCCCAGCACGTGACATTGAGATAACGCCACATCCTCAACAGGGCCTCAAGTGACCCGGATGTTCTATGACGTCACCGTATTGTTGTGACCCAGCGCTCAGCTATAAAAGCGGGGTCGCGCGGGGTGTTCAGCAGATGTTTGTCTTGCTGCGTCAGTGAACGTACGGGCAAAGTCGACGCTATCAAAAGCACTTCTACAAATCCCATTTTATCTCATTTGTTCCCAGTTGTTAGTCCGAGAATCTAGCAAGATGGCCCAAACTCAACCCCGCCAGAACTTCCATGTGGAGAGTGAAGCCGGCATCAACCGCCAGATCAATATGGAGCTGTACGCCAGCTATACCTACCAGTCAATTGTAAGTATATAACGCGCAGTAATGGCTGGGCTGTTTCCGATGTAATCCAGGGCAGTCCGTCAAGACCCATGTATTTTCAAAAAGCTGTATTTCGAATTTATAAGTAATATGTATAATGGATGACATTTATACCCCTGACATGACATACCTGTGGCACGTTTTATGTTGAACAATTAGCGATGCTTGTTCCGTTACAATGTTGTAATGGACAGCGGTCATATAAGGTATTGCGTCGGCGATTTTACATGAGGTGATTGTAGGTAGTTGACTGACTGGCATGGAGGAGGAAGGTGTTGGGACGAGGATGTGTGAAGCTCACTGGCCGTGTGTCGATCTATCAGGGACCTGTTCAACAAGACTGGCATTTCGACAATTACACACACACACTGACCAAATGTGATACATCCTGCGTATTTCTGGTCAAGTCCTATTGTATGAGTATCGAAACTGAACCCGGCGATGTGGGGTGATATGTTTACTACCTCCAGAGAAGGGGGAAGGTCGAGGATCACGTGATCGAGCCTATTTCAACTCACGAGGCAGAACACGTGACTTTCCATGACCGCGTGAAAATATTACGGTGTGGTGTTTTGTGAACATGTTTACTCTTTGTATACATGAACACGATTGTAACGGATCAATGATCAGATCCTTGTCAATATAGAATGTACGTATATAGCTCGTGACGCATGGAAACGTCATTCGTACCGTATCCCCTTACTGAATAGATGGATTGTAGAATTCAATGTCATCATTTGAAATGCCCCAGGTGAAAATCGCCTGCCTGTTATTGTTGGAAGAAGAATGAATCACAATCACAATGCGTCCAATGTCGTGTTGCACTTTCATAAAAACAAAGTTTGATACGGTCACTGATGATTCATCGCGTATCGAGCTGGAAGACGTCCCAGCCAACACCCTTGCTGTCTCATGTCCCATCACGCGCCATTCACATATCACACATTGTGTCACACATTATCTCATATATCTCACATATCACACATCTTACATAACACACGTCACCTAATCAATCATGTCTACATGTTGTCATACGCATCCTATGATCACACATCGCAAATGCATCACACATCGTCTCACCACACACTCTCACATGACACATTGTCATCACTCGTTTCACAATTGTCACACATGTTCACACTTATCACTCATCTCATTCGATATTACTAATTACCCACATTGACATATATTGTAGCACATACAATACACACACACTCACATATCACACACATGGCACATTGCCATCACTCACTTTTCACAATTGTCACACATTATCACACATCTCGTTCGATATTACGAATCACACGCAATATATACATTATCGTACATACAATACATACACTATATCACATATTACACACCTCACACACTATCTGGCATATTCCCTTTCAAGGTACTGGTCTGCACGATATTACAACTGTGTTGCCACGTGTTCACTAGCCGGACACATTTGCACCAGTGTTTGCCCTTGACCCTGAAAGGCTGCAGGTCCTAAGGACCCAGAACCATATATGTTGTTGGTCCTGATCAGAATGTGTAGGCCCTAAAAAAAATATATGGAAATATTACTCCTAGTAATTGGGGATGAAAAAGCTGTAAGGAGCTGCAGAAAACAAAAGCTGTGGGTCCGAGTGGTTTTCAGTCGGCTTCGGGTCAAAGGACCGACGTTTATTTCGAACATGACTTGCACACAGCACCATCTAAACTAATGTATGTGTTGACCGGTCAGGATAAACACAGACTACACCATGACGAGTTAACCATACTGAACCACGGAGCTGCGGTAAAATCTTTAATCAGTAGGTTCGACAGACGGTGTACTTAATCTGTCAAGGTCGATAAACAGTGTCTCTCCTGTAACCAAGGCCCTGGTTATCGTAAATAAACAACACCGTATTTTCGAAAAAATCTATACGTTTACCGTAATACATGTGGTAAAATATAGTTCCTCATAATCTAATCGATAGAGACCCTTTCCTAACGTGTGCGTCTTACTAGGGAAAAATAAACTTTCAATCTTTGAGAAACAGCGTCCACAAGATTCTTTCATATCCCAATTTACTATCGACACAAACAGCCTATTCACAATTTGGAAACCTTCCAACCGTCAAACTGTCCAAGAGTCTAATTTATGTTTGGCCATATAAAGTATTGCTCTCTCTTGAAACATTAATTATTTTCGCTCGGTCGAGCCTGCCTAGACTTTCGTGTTTGCAAAGTAAACATTGATCAATAATAAACAGCCTCCCTGAGGAAGGGTCAGTTTTATGTTATTAAGCACAGAGTACCCTGTATGTCTCTAAATTGGGAATCGTTAAGCTGCCGATTTGATCCCATATTAATTAATGTCACAAATACTAATGTCAATGAGTTTGCCAGACATGCCTTACAAGCGATATGCATATTGTTTCCTGAACGTCGGAGAATAGAGCAGTATCCCCGACTCTCTAATTGTAGAAATCGTTATTATCGTTGAACATCGCTTTTCCGACCTGTCCGCCACTCTGATGAAGGGCTTTTGTAAATAGGTCTGAAAGTTTTGACAAGTGACATCTATGTAAAAACTGCTTGTCACGTCCTGTGCTCGTGACATGACTCACAGCCTCGTTCTGATCAGATCTGCTATCTAACCGCCGCCATTGTTGTAATCGTTAAAAATATATATGCAGGTGTGGTTCTCCATGTCGGTTTATCGTCGATGGCTATTATGTCTAAACGAACAATAGTATATCAATGTGTGACGCTGGGAATCAAGCAGACAAGTGTCTTGGGCGTATTCTTGGTCATACTTCATTACGTGTGATTCCCTTAATGATGACAATTTAGATGACACATCTTGTGTAACACCCTTCAGCTTAGTTAGGCAGACTGCACCCTTTTGTTGTCTGGAAAACTGCACAGTAATGTGCAACTAGGTATAGGAAGACTTCCAATCCCATCTCCCAGACTGTATGTGTCTGAAGGAAGACTGTATGTGTCTGAAGGAAGACTGCCAATCCCATCTCCCGGAGACTGTATGTGTTTGAAGGAAGACTTCCAAGTATGTGTCTGAAGGAAGACTTCCAATGTCCCTCTCTCAGACTGTATGTGTCTGAAGGAAGACTTCCAATCCCTCTCCCAGGACTGTATGTGTCTGAAGGAAGACTTCCAATCCCTCTCCCAGACTGTATGTGTCTGAAGGTCTGCTGTTATGTCCACACTGTCCCTGGTAGTATTGTCATGCTTGAGTCATGCATGCATACATATTATACATATTGTGTAATTGTCACCTGGACTCTGCCACTGAAGGCTTCGTGAACAAGACAGCATCGTTGCTACATGACAAATATTACCACCATAATTTACCCCCACACAACTAAACCGTAACAAGCAGCCTGAAGTTAGCAGCGGGTTCGTGTTTCGTTATTCGTCTTTATTCCACGTAGAGCGTTTGAATAACGAGCCCGCTGCTAGCACGTTATTCGTTATTCGAAAGACGAATAACGAAATACGAACCCTCTGGAAATATGGTAGGCTATATTTATCTTACATTTTATAGAACTGATGGGCATACAGGGAATAACGAACCCAGTGCTGGTTAGTTTTTCGTTATTCAGAGGTTCTGAATAATTAAACATCTCATGCTCATTTGGTACACCTGTGAATAGAACCCGCAGTCTCTTTTTACATGAGTTTCAGTATATATATATGACAGCACTACTATAGATGTTCCATATCGAGTGTTTGAATAACGAACCCGCTGCTAACACGTTTTTCATTATTCGAAAAACGAATACGCTGCTAACTTCAGGCTGCTACCGTAACAGTCTTAAAATACCTCTGTGGAGGGAGCTAGACCACTTGATCAGTCCACCAGACACAAGACAACCGTTGATACCCGAATGTGGATCAACGTGTAAAGGGAGTACCCTGATTAAACGTGTGGTTGTAGACTGGGTAAGATACCACGAACAGGAGAGCTTTGCATTTAGCAGTATCATTGAACATTCCCTTGAAACACCCTGGACGAACATGGACACGTTCCTAAGATACGGTTTTACAGTAACTGCGTGTCATATTCCACAGGTCTATGTCCATATTCCCAAGACCACTTGCTGATAATTCCAAGACATCTTTGTATATTCCTAAGGCATGCCTGTATACCATTGTTCGATATTCCCTAGGCGTGACTGCATTCAGTGGGCATTTCCTATGTTTTGCAGTGCTTGTATTCCATAGGCGCATGTCTGCTATTCCACGCGTCTTGCGTGCTTCGAACCCTTGTTTACTCTTAACACAGGCACCGTGTGTGATGGTTGTGATTTCTTTCTCAGGGGTTTTACTTCGACCGCGATGATGTTGCCCTGCCTGGCTTCAGCAAGTACTTCAAGAAGGCCTCCGAGGAGGAGAGAGAGCACGCTGAGAAGCTGATGAAGTACCAGAACACCAGAGGAGGTCGCATCGTCCTGCAGGACATCAAGGTGAGCGGACCACGAGATGTGACGCTAGACGTAATAACATGGGACTAACTGTTTAGGGGGTATGCGCTGTATGGGAATACAATAGCATTTGGCTGTATAGTGGATACCATATCAAGATGGGGTGTGAAAATGTTGCTGTATTGGGTTGGATATATTTGGGTATTTTCGACATTGAGTATTGATTATGGAGGAGTATTTGTGGAGCTGTTTGCATGTAGCAGATTCTGACAATTTCCGTGTTTTGCAGAAGCCTGACAGGGACGAGTGGGGCTCAGCTCTGGAATCCATGCAGGTGGCCCTTCCCTGGAGAAGAACGTCAACCAGGCCTTGCTGGACCTCCATGCCGTCGCCAGCAAACACAGCGACGCGCAGGTGAGAAGGCAGTCACACCTATACTTTAGTCAAATCATCCTCTGTGTTTGGTTTTCTTGTACATGATAGAAAAGAACCAGTCAGCTATTTGAATGTTTGATAACTATTTAGAGCTAATCGATCAGTGTTTAGATTTGAAGCAGGTATGAACTGTTTAGTTATAAATGGGTCCGATTCTTTACCAACAAAGAATTGCAGAAATCCATGGTTGTTACTGTTTGTATACAAGTGTTATTTAAACAACCTGCATTCTCGACAGTTACTATTGGTCTTAAGTCATCTCATCACACAACTAACATCTCCCCCATCCACAACTAACGTCTCCTGAAGCGACGTGTCCCCACCACCACCACCACTATGGCCTCACTAGGCCACCAGTATCGTCTCTCCAACCCACCCACTTACGTCTCTCCCACCCATGACTGACATCTACCCCTTCTTCCACAGATGTGCGACTTCCTGGAGAGCGAGTACCTGGAGGAGCAGGTGAAGGCCATCAAGGAGATCTCGGACCACATCACCAACCTGAAGCGGGTCGGGACTGGCCTGGGTGAATACATGTACGACAAGGAGTCCATGGAGTAATCCCAAGTGGTCACGTGGGCATAGTCGCACGTGGCATCACCCAGTCAGCCCTCTTAAGCAGTCAACATCTCTGCCTGTAATTCTGGGGCCGTGAGGCCGTCCTTTTAATTTCATTCATATTCTCGTTGAACAATGTTTTGTTTCTGTTGAACAATTTTACATGTTTTGTTAGGGCTGACATAACCTGAAAAAACTGAATAAAAGGGTCAAGTGCATCGAAGACTATTTCCTGTTGTCAATCGTAGGTTTATTAGGTCAGGCGCTACTACACTCAATGCCCATGGTCTACTGGCATCCAGGTTGTTTGATCGGTATTCTAGAAGCACTTTCAGCCTGATAACGGTGTAAGAATCATCACCGAAAGGTCGCTCTACAATAAACAAGAAGCTGTTGTGCATAACGTCGTATGCTTCATTATTGGCATCAAGGATGGTTCAGATTCAAGAATTTAGATGTTTTGGTTGTTTCACTAACCCTGGACAGTGTATGCTGCAGATGGTCTGAAACACATGGAGCACACTCACTACAGTCGTCCCATAGTCAGGCAGCACCTATAGAAGTCCCATAGTCAGACAGCAACTATAGAAGACAGCAACTATCCCATAGTCAGACAGCAACTATAGACGTCCCATAGTCAGGCAGCGCCTATAGAAGTCCCATAGTCAGACAGCAACTATAGAAGTCCCATAGTCAGGCAGCAACTATAGAAGTCCCATAGTCAGGCAGCAACTATAGAAGTCCCATAGTCAGGCAGCACCTATAGAAGTCCCATAGTCAGACAGCAACTATAGAAGTCCAATAGTCAGACAACATCTACAGAAGTCCCAAAGTCAGGCAGCAACTATAGAAGTCCCCTAGTCAGAAGTCCCAAAGTCAGGCAGCATTGTTTGTTTCTGGCAAGTAACTTCAGATGTCCACATTAGTCTTAACAGAATTCATTTTCCTAATTCTACACTTTAAAAAACCTAATCCCACCAACGGCCGTGACCTTGATTTCATATTACAAACATCGAAGCGAATCTTCGTTCAAGCAAAACACATGACTACTCCCATAACAATGGCAGAAAGTATCAGGTAATATACAACCACCCTGCCTCAGCCCTCCCAGAGATCTATCTGCTGCTGGTGCCTGTCGGTCCATGAGACAACAGCGCAGGTTTGGCCAGATTGAAGTTTCTTTCAAAGGCATACAATACCCCTGAGGTAAGGTGAGGTGAGGTGAGGCGGACGCTCTAACCATACCCCTGAGGTGCAGGATGAGACAGCAGCGCAGTTTGGGCCAGATTCCAAGGCCTACGTGCTGGATGGTGCCCCTCATACTGGACTAACGCATAGTCTCTGAATATATATAATTTTGATAGTAACAAATAAACCCATTTAATTGAAAAGGAGCCCCATGGAGACCAGAGATTCAGAACCTGAGGAAATCTAGACTTGCTTCATTTAGGACTTTAGCACTGCAGAGAGGACTAGGCAGTAGGGAATATGTTGTGGTTCAGGGACTGTGAGACAGACAAACTAGGCACCAAAGATGTCTGTGGAAATACAAAACAATTTTTAAAAAAGTATTGTGCATTACACCAGTCAGGCAGCGTACCCACCAGGTAGATCTGGGAGTGTATATAATCGTAAACAAGAAGGTATGTGACACAGCCTTGTGTCAAGCCCTTCAGTGGGTGAAGAACCTGCACGTTGACCTTATGGACATTCATTACAAGATTCTTCAAAATGGTGACATTTATTCTTATTTAACTTTTGTCGACCCATGTTTCGTCAAGATGTTCATCACAGAATACTTACCTCCGCTACGATTGAAATCTGACAATGAAACTCTTTGCAAACCTGTATTCTGTTTCCAAATTTATTAAACGTTGTCAATATGGATCCGCAACAGACCATAATCTGTCCATGGTCTGAATTTTGTTGCACTATTTTAAATAGTGAACAAAACACAGTAACACCACCTGTCCAGTGTGTTTAGTGCACTTATTTCAGCATTCCGACTCGCGTCAGGTGTGTGAGGACCGACGGTGGCGAGATCACAAATGCAGTAATAGTGTAAGGGAGATAATCCATACTGGACATTCACACCTACCACTTTTACGGTATACTCCCAGCACACCAGTCGCCTCTGCATTGTCATAGTAATCTCAATGAAATCATAAACTGAAAAAAACAACCTAAAACAGTATATGCATAAGTCACTGAACCATTGCAAAATATCACACCGACAATACGATGCTGGACAATAGTGAACGAAATGTTTCATTGCTAAAACCGGGCACATCTGCTGGTTCATCAGATAATGCATATTTGCAATAATTATCCCAGCAAGCTGAAATTGATCCAACTCACCAGTCAAAACAACAGATGTCACTCCGACTAAATCATTGTTTGGACTTGTTGTGACCTTGCTGTAGACGTGTATGAATTGGTCATGTCCAGTTTGTCTGACCTGTCGGCACTGGTTGTGTATGATGCATGGATCACAGCTGTAGAACTGTGGACATGCGTCTATAGAAACATCTGCCTGTAGCAGCAAGCGTAGCCATTGTCAACTCCAACATGGACATTGCCATCGACAAAAACATCCCATCTCCTGGAGATACCTGATAATATATGTTTATCTGTCATTTCATATTACATCAATAATTCATGGTATGCTTGAAAACAGCCTTTATACACGCACACGCACACAGAGAAATGTGTCATGTGATAGGTCTAAGCATTGTCATGGCAACATGGATTCCACACCATAATAACTAAGATTGCATTAAGGCTTAGAGGCAAAAATTTCAGGACCAAATATGACCTCATTTCCCAACATTTCCAAATACGTACTTTATCATATATACTGGGACAGTGGTAGAAGTTTTGTATTACCATGACAACGTATAACGTCAATACGAGAAGGTAATCTGACACCCCGTACGCAGTTCCGACAATACGTATCTTCTGCCGCATCACAAAGCTTATATACCAATGCCTGAAAACATTTTGTCATAAAACAGGCGCGTACTTGAGGAATATAAGTCGTAACGGTCGCATCATATTCCCTAGTAAGGAACATGAGAATAACGGTTAGGATATGTGTACAGCATTGCAGAAGAATTTGTAAGACTATAAACGCAAATATACGTGAAATTAGTGATCATCATTAATACCCGAATTCGACCTGTGGAAAGTATTCGACTCAACTGGTGTCATGTCCTTCATCACATCAGCTATTACGCCACAAGTAGGAGGTTTAGAACCAAACTCGTAGCGTGAGGCTTTTAATTAAAAATTAGAGCTATTATAATTTCGTTATATACCTCTGATTTTCCAACACAGTACGTTTATCTCCATTCTAACATAACCGCGTTATTAAGATTTAAAAAAATACATATTGTGTTTAAAAAATCAGAGGTATATATATAACGTGATTATATACCTATTACGTACCTTTAAATGACTTTGTTTAACCAATCCGAATCTAGTATGAAGTCATTGTAGAATTCGCTCTAACCTCCCCGTCGACGTGTTCGTGTTGTGACCGGAAGTCTTCAAAGTGGAAATAATATGTGACAACCGACGGAACCACTCACTTGAAGAGGGCTCTAATATCGGCATTCTGGGTTCTCAACAATGTGACATAAAATGTCTGGATGTTTCGAGAAACTGTGGTGAAATTAACTGTTTTCTTTGGTCAGTTCATCGATCATTCCTGAAACAATGCCCCCAAACCAAATCCACCTATTTTTAGCTTATTCAGATTCACAATGCCATATGCAGCACAGGGGCCATGTGAAGCTAAAAACGGCCATCAAGGTATATACTGTCACTAACGGGGTCTGGGTTTTAGCGTTGCAAGCCCCTGTGATATGCAGCGCCATCAATGAGAGGCAAACGTATAAACGTACAAACACAGCCACACACAATATGTATAGTCCGTTTGGCTCAAAAGCGGACCGATGAATTGCGATCTGACTCGAAAACTGATAAACATATAATACTCAATGAAACGCTGATCATAATAAAAACATCAGACCAATTCTGTGAGTACTTTTGAAAATGTATGTCCTAAAAATAAAAAAAACGTTGTTTAACAAACTATCATTAAAATATTTACACCATTCACTATTTGGTATTCAGGTTGCCATGCATAAGGTTTATACCCGGACTGTCGACAACAAGAAATAATCCGTACAAATTACTTGTCGACAGTCCGGGGAAAGGGAGGTGATGTTCTACATGAGTGACTTCACTCCCAGTGTTCTCGAAATTAACAAACCAATTAAAAAACAGACAATATATTTATTAAGTCAATATAATATGTATGTATCATATGTCACACAATATAACATATTTGTATATATATTTCATAAATCTCACACAATATATTTTTGTGTGTTTTATATAAATAAGTGATTTCTGCAGGTGTATAAGTAATAAACATATAAAAGATGAGTCCAGTTATTTCTTCTTGCCAAAACACCTTTATATCTGCACTAAAGTAATCTGAATGTTCATCCAAGATGAAGCAGCTCTGACACATGGTCTGTGTAATTCAAGTCAGTAAGTCTGTCGGTAAGAAGGTCGGCCTTCAAGGATCGAACCCTAGCGTCGATGATTCGGTAGCGACGTCTACGGACGGGATCTCACTGCTGTCCTTGGATCTGCTCAATGTTTACTTCAGTAGATGACTGTTCTTTTTGTAGCATTCGCACAACCTCAAATACATTCGGATGTGTCTTCATGTTCTGTGTCCATCATTTTCAAAATGTCCATGTACCTTCTACTCAGGTGGTAGTAACGTAATCCATCAGCTGTGTCGCCTTTTCACCTAGTGGTGCGTCTGCAATGGCATCAAGCCAGACATCTTCAACTTTATCCAGTGGCACTAAAGGTAGAGCTGCAGCTCGACGCACTAGTCTTTTCACATTGGTGTCTGACTTGTACTCTGAAGCAAGGCCTACTTTCTGTGTTCGACGCCAGATACACTGGGTGTAATAAAAGAAGTATCCACGAAGCTGAGTATTTGGAAATACAATACTGGCGGCGTTATGAGAGGCACGTTTAAAGTCCAACTGAAACACATCAGGAGAAAGCTGAAGTCCTTGAGTCGCTGCAGGCTGTTTCAGATAGTCAAACACTCTTGTATAGGTCTGTTCTGTTTGGCAAGAGTCCCTATATCAGGGGTAGAATGTGTCCTTGGTATTTAGACCGCCTCCGTGGTGTAGTGGTTAGAGTGTGGAAGGTCACGGGTTCGATCCCCGACCGCGTCATACCAAAAGACGTTAAAATATGGTACTTGTTGGTCCCTGCCTGGCGCTTGGCATTAATGGGTACAAGAAGGACTGGTCGGCTCGGAGTCAGTATAATGTGTCTGAGTGGGGTATTCATGCTTCACTGCGGCATGGTATCTCAGTGGGCTAGCACTATAAAACCAGCTTCAGTCTGGGCTAGTACAAGCAGCCGCACATACACATACACACGCATGCGTGTCGTCATATGAGCGAAATATTCTCAAGCACGACGTTAAACCCAATTCCACCACCACCACCTTGGTATTTAGGATTGGTCGAGTAGATTTGGTCAAACAGTCGAGGTGAAGACGAGTATGTACCATCTGCAAAGATGACATCTGCTGCAGAGAGAAGCTCTGGATTCTTGCTGGTGAAGAAGAGCAGAATGTTGCCATCATCTAGTCGGTGAAGAGAGTCATCTCCTACTTCAGTCGTTGTCCACTCATTCTCTAGATTGATGTCTGCAAGGGTCTGTGGAAGCTTAGGGGCGGTCTTATGTTTTTGTCGATACATGCTGGTTCTCATGGAGTCAAAGACAGGAATGTGTTGGAGAAGGGCGCCTGGAGCAGCTGCTGGATTCTTTCTCAAGTTGCTGACTTCTTGATGGTAGATCTGGGGGATAGGCGTAGTGTTGCCAGTCTTTGAACCATGATGGAGCTTTGACTTGAACGCATCAACTTCAGTAAGAAACGGAATAGCAGATCGGTTGTGACCTTGACCGACCATATTCAGCAGGTTGTTTCTGTAACCAGATACGATGGACAGGTTGCATCTGTACATCTCCAGTATGTTTTCTGAGCTCTGCGTCTGTTGACTCTGTACTTGAATCCATTGTGGTAAAGATTCTGACCTCCATGAAATTTGTCAATCAGTGTAACCCGCACCATAGCATTTGCCATTTTGACATTGGTAACAAAATATTCATGATCTATTATCTATACCCAAATGCTAAATGTTTACAACAGCATTTCGATAATCCTTCTACTCCCAATATCACAACATAATTTGTAAGCTCTCTGTTTCTTTTCGGATGTTGTTGCATGTTAAATTCCAAAATGGTAATCCTTCCACTCGCATAACGTAAAATAATAGTCTGTTTGCAACCTTAATTCTCTTACAAGTCGTTAATGGGACATTCTCTTTAATTAATTTAATTCATTTACTCGTGATACGAGCATAGCCACCATAGCCACTTGCAAACCGCTAAGCAAACATTCTCTTTCGTTAATTAACACCGTCACGGTATGTTGACCACGTGATGTCGACACTCCGGGTTTTTTATTCTGTCGACGGTAAGCAACATCCTATTTTTCATTTGTCGACAGATCGGGATGACACCAACGCATCTGCCAACGTCGGACTTGCCTGGTCCATGTAAATCGACGACGTCGGTTTTGAAAAGTCAGATGCACTCCGCGGTTGGGTCGACGTGCTGAAATACCTCTTAGTCGCCGGTTCACTCTATGTCGAACCCCTACCCCCCATCCGCCAATGGTGATTGACATAACTCTGTGTGGTTTTATCACTTCATTTTTATTTTTGTGAATTTTTATGCAATATTTTGCGGTGTATGGTTTCTTTAGAGCTCTAGTTTATAAATGTCATTGTACACTTTGTCTCAGGGCATCTAGATCTACATCATCGATATATAGGCCTACTTTCATTCTGGTTACAAGTTTCGGATTTGAGTGTCATCGAATCGAACACGTATATGTACTGATGAGAGGAACCGTTATGTATTCCTTACTTTGACAACTCACACAGAATTCTAGTCTCTCTTTATTGTTACCACTTATTCGTTTCTTTAACATCACATTTTCGATTCATAATGTATTTTTATATATTTTTATCTTATGTATCAGTCATTCAGCCGGTTATATCAACAAATTAATCATTGTTTCAATAGCATACATTATTACTGATGTCAACAACTACTGTTCATGTGAACTGTGTGAAGATCCGGGTTAGAATTGGTATCCAGCAACCCATGCTGGTGGTATGAGGCTTGCTGATCGGGTGGTCGACACATATCATCGTATCCCAATTGCGTAGATCGATGTTCATCATGTTGATGACTGGGTCTTCTGATCCTGACTCGATTATTTACAGGCCGCCGCCATATAGATGTGTGAGGCGACATCTGGAGGAATCATGAAGACTGATTACACAAGTGTGTAGTATGACCTCCATTCTTCCCAGCTGTCGCGTTCACTTTCTCATTTCATAATCTGTTTGAGAATTAAGAAATATCGGCTAAAACGTGACAGAAAAGTTAAAAGAATGTGAGTGTATGTGTAATCAATATTTCGTGACTGGTTGGCGTTTGAAACACAGGCCAACCGTAGCGCAAATAGGGTTGCGCAAGAAAGTGAAAATGACCAATCTACCTATATGCGAGCAAAGCGAGGTTGTCAACGTACTTCCCCCGCTTCGAGAATGGAATAAATGAGGAGTTACCTCCCTTGCTTTCATTTTTTTTTAGAATACATCTCACGAAAATTCTAACAATAACGACGGCAGATATGCAAAAATAATCTCGAACGGTTTAATGGTAAAATTTGGCAATATGATATTTCTTTTTTAATTTTTGTTTATTCTTGTTCCTTCACTCCATTGAACCGGAAGCCGACATGGGTAATGGAGGCGAACATTCGTAACTACTCGCCTCTTTCCGTGACCAACAAGAAGATTCGTACCTGTATAGTACGCCATTATTGCCAAGAATTGAGGCAAACCAATCAAATCGCGGGAAGTAAAACGCACTTCGAAGTATGAAAATGGCGGCACCGTCGAACTTTAAAGCTTCGGTAAACCTCGCAAAGCACAATTTAAATTTCTGTGCGAAAGGATCAGCAACGTTCAACACCGAAACATCTTTAGTGCATAGCTGTTTTACCCCCGGGATATGGGATATTCTTGGAGTAGCCATGTTTGGAAATTCAGAGTTATCTTTCCTTGTAAATAGTACTAGACTATTTTCATCTCCGTTCCCGTTTGCCCTTAGTCAAGGCCCAGTCGTGAACATGGCCACGAGAGGGGTACGAGTCGCCATCCGGCTTGCCGGAATGACAGGAGTAGTTACTAATGATGCCACGAGTGGCGCTTAAAATGTTGAATTAAATAGATTGTACTTGAGTAATTACTAAATATGAGGTTGGAAATCTGAGAGCTGAACCCTGTGAGGAAATGGGCGTCTACCTTTGATGCTGGCGATATTTTAGTTTGATATTAAAAATGTTTTTCGAACTGAAGCGAGGAAGTTTTTGAGCTAGACATAGCAAAAACCTTCAATGCCACGGCATGTCATGCGTCTCGTTGGAGTCGTTGGTATTATGCCTTTGCAAAATGAGGGATTCAATGTGACAATCATTCATATCATGTCCAGAAACTGTTTTATACAAACCTTCGTAACTCCATACAACGGCCATGTAGTCGGTATGTTGTTCCAAGGGAGGTCACTCTAGATGTCAAAATGAACTTGCCACTGCCAGTAGCTAATTTGCATATCACAAGACCTGACTGTTCCCACTGGTGGTAAACAAACGCGATAATTCTGTAATCAGAGCAGAATGTCCCATCTACAGGTGTTTTTGCATAATTATGAGATATGCTTTTTCATCTTCAACAGAGCGGGGTATATCATTGTTCCCTTGCTTACACATCCAAGCGACCTTAACGATGGCCATTCAAAGGTGTTTCCCTAACTGCCTGGGTAGTCATACAAATACACAAACACAAATAGTTTGCTGCGGGTTTTTCTCATTGAAGGTTGACCATTTCCTAACATGTTTATTTCCATGAGCAATAATTTTTAAACAAAATTACAGGTGAAGACGATATAGTAATTTATTAAACAGAATGTTGTGAGATGTAAGATTCAAGATATAGGCTGCAAGATTTGTAATATTTTCGTTAACAATTTCTTAATTTAACAAAGTTAATCTGCACAAGTAGCCGGCTTCGCAGGTCTGTCTTCATCGCGAGTCATTTCTGTATTTTTTCATACACATGAAATCGATGTTTTTAGGGTAAATTGTACATTTTTAGCCATAAAATATTAATATTAGTCTTGAAATTGTTCACATATGTTGGGTTGGGTTGTTTAATTTTGTTATTGCTATGTCGAAAACCATATGCTTCCATATGTACGATGTACTGAGAGTAGGTTTTACAATGTCACATGTACTTCAATGTCAATACTACCTCATACTACAATCAAACGTCTTGTATTATGTATCACACATGTTTAATATTCTCAAACATATTCTCGATACCTGTCAGTTTATTTATGGCTATGTCTATATTTATATTAAACAACATAAAGGGCAATAAAGGCACAGTTCTTCATGGATGACATCATATATCACGATGCGACGTATCGGAACATCTTCTTATACCGATGTCAAGCAGGAGTAAACTACTACACCATAGACTTAATGTCCATCTATAACAGAGATCACTAAACACATCATGGTATGCATGAAAACCACCAACAACAACACTGGATATTGGTAATCCATACAGTGGCAACTGTTCTAGATAACCGCCATGTTGATGATGTCGCCAACCCAACATTAAGGCTGGTTCAACTCGCATCCGATTGGTCTGTTAGTAGTGTGGCGAATCAACTTGGTTCATGAAAAACAAGCCTCATTAATATGAGATTGCGTGAACCTCGAGAATAAATCCAGGAGCCAGGTCAAAATGAGATTGTGTCGTGTGAAAAGAGGCGGCTTTTTAATCCAGAGATAAATATTTTACGTAAGATCTAGGTTATCAAGTCAAAGCATACGAAAAGAACACACATGTTGAACCGAGATATCAGATACCTCCACTCCTGCCAGAAGCTGTTGGCGACATAGGTCACCCGAACACGATGCGTTAACAAAACAGTAAAGAATGCGTCACGAATGTATATGTGTCATACAAATGGCTTATATAAGCAGCACAATATTGAACCTTCTTTTGCAGGTGTGACTGGTTCTTCCATATTCATAATGTCATTTGGAATCAAGTTGTCAAAAGTTCTGACCTTGTGTTTGAATTGTATTTTTCTGGTACTGGGTCTAATTACATGAAGGGGTATTGAATACTGAACACAAATCAGTGGACTCTTCAAAGTTCCGGTTTCATACTTCACAAAGGTACAATAATCGACTGTCCGGCGTCTAGCATGCTTCCAGTGTATAATGAATAGGTACCTCGGACCAATTCAGCATTTTGTTTCACCAACTTGATCTCTCCATAATTAATCAAATCATTTCTCTCGTTCACTAGACTGAGTGAGTGAGTTTAGTTTTACGCCCAACTCAGTAATATTCCAGCTATTTGGCGGCGGTCTGTAAATAATCGAGTCTGGACCAGACAATCCGCTGATCAAAAGCATGGACATCGATCTTCACAATTGGGATACGATGACATGTGTCAACCAAGTCAGTAAGCCTGACCACCCAATCCCGTTTATCGCCTTTAACGACAAACATGGTTAGTGAAGATCAGTTCTAACCTGAATTCACGGGTTTCGTTTACCAGAGTAATTTCATACATCGTGCTATACGATTCGAGTCAAAATTAAGCTACGATAGAGAACTGTTTCAAAGTATATACCGTTACGAAGTAACTTTGCAACAGGAATGACAGTCGTTGAGGGGCTACCTTGTTGAGGACTATTGTTAGTGAGGGTAATGTTTTTGTTGTTCTGTATTCATTCATCCACTCGGGTCATAGCGAAATGAATGTAACGGATTGGGTCAATCTGGGAGTCGAACCAAGGCGGAGGTTCTGTCATGTCAGAAGCGCTGCCGTACACCAGGAGGTGGGGGTAGCCCTTGCCTCTCATCTCACATAACAGCTCAAGTGACACGAAGACCAGCATTGAGTGGCGATTATTCTTACCTTGGATACCCAGCCAATTTTGGAACCTATCTTTATTGCTATAATCACTGCTTTTGCATTATACTACCTTTAAATTTCAGTGTCACTCTATTTTGTACTGGGGCGGTGGGGTAGCCTAGTGGTTAAAGCGTTCGTCCGTCACGCCGAAGACCCGGGTTCGATTCCCCACAAACTGAGACTGTTTCCAGGAATGGGGACCAGATTCAATTAATGTGTGCCGCTCATATAGAGTTTCCCGTTCTATGTGTACGAATTAAACATGTAAAGAAAGGTGTACCAGCAGATATCTATTTATTACGTTCCCAAGCGAATCCCTTGGCCCTTGTGCGTGATATCAACACATTGTCAACCTGACGATGGAGTCGTATGTTGACTCTTGTCTGATTTTAAAGATTTGCACCTCCTTGAAAATACACGTCCTTGCGTCTACTTCAAGATGATGTGTAGATAACTGTTCCACTGTGTCCGTGTTTCAAGACTTTATGTCACCAACCATGAAGGCTCTCAGCTTACTGATTCTGTCACCTCGAGAGAATGCCTTGATGTCCCCTACAAGTATGCTCTTCTGAAGATCAGGCTCAAATTTGGCAGCTGGTGGGTTACGACCGTACGCAATGGAGACCTCCCTCAGATAGTAGGAAGCGCTGCCACAACACAGACCGATGTACTGTACACCCAACTCCCGGGCTTCTGTAGCAAACTGGCGGATCTCAGCTCGAGTACACTGCAGGGGAGCTAACTCTGCAGGGTACGCCATGCTTCCTAGATAGCAGAATGACACATCCTGTTTTTATCCACGATATACATATTGTTACACATATTAATATGTTTAAGAGTTTACATCTTGTCGGCGATAATATAGTGACGTAAGTGAGACATATTTCACAAGTTCATTAGAATTAACGGATCGACTGCAACAGGAACACTAACCTGTCACCGGGTCTGTGAGGCACTGGAAGCACTTCTGTTGAGGCGTGGTGCGGAAGGTGACAGGAAGAGCGGCTATAGGGCCCTGGGCAGACCGAGAAAATAGTGCAGCATTCACTATAAGATATCAGACCCTAAGATGTTATAGGTTAGCTAAAGTACGGAATGTAACTTAGGGCTGCCTAATGCAATAGAGAGACTGCACTCTGTCATCGATCAGGACTCTTGAGCTCTTTCCTGATCTCTTGAGCAATCACAGACTCCATACTCAGACACAGCACCCAAGAGGTCTGTCGGATCTGCTAACCCACCAGCGAGTGCACTCACCGTACAGGTCTATCCGCTCTGTTGACTCAACACAGAGAGTGGACTCACCTTACAAGCCTGTCGGATCTGCCTGAGAAGTGGCAACATCGTGGCCGGACCCCGGGCACAGTTTAACCCCACGACCGCCGCCCCTTCCTCTTCAAGCCTCCTCATGGCCTGGGGGAAGGGGACATCGTCTGTGGTTCTGTCTGGGACATAGGCCGCCATCGTGATCACAGCTGGAAGACCTGCAGTGAAAAGGCTGTAGACATAATATGACAATATATGCTTGTTATTCAAATGATACTAAAGGTCAGGTTACACAGTGGAAGACGAGCGACAGCTGCATTGTTATCGGTGTGTATTTGGTAGTATTGATGTCTCAGTTGTCTTCTGCATAACAGACAGGCGTGATGAAGTCAAAACATTTACCTTTTCCATACTTCCGGATGGCCTCCAGAGCGAGGCTGGCCTCACTGCACGAATCGAATGTCTCCGCAATAAAGTAGTCCGCCTTGCCCTTAACAGCCCACTCTACCTGTTCCTGGGGTAAGTATTAGTTTTCAAATAAACAAATGGTTGTGGATCAACTCTCAGTTATCAGGTCCCATAGGATATTAATTGCATTAAGACTATCAAACTAAAACACTATTACCTAAAATTATTTTTAGCAACAGGCTTCGGCACTCGTTCCCCAAAGAAACCATAGCACCAAGACTAATGTGATTCGATTACTTCCTGAAAAGCTGCCTGTGATGAATAATATGATTTTTAAGTATTGTGGTAATTCAATGAGGAAAGTTGTTATTAATTCAAGATTGTATTCTATGTGTAAGACATTTGACATTACAATACGCTCCACTTTCATGCATTTGTATTAATCGCCAGTAAATGTGGCCACTATTTCAGTCGTCAGTTGATATCAGAGTACATACTTTGAATATAGACTTGACCTCTTCCACAGACTCTGTATTTTCAGGGTCATATATCGTTGTGTTGCAAAGGTTTCCGGCCATTAGTTTTCCCGTTCTGTCAGCAACATCTCGCGCGATCTTCAGAGCTGCGAGATTTAAGGCCTCGAGATCATCTTCCCTTCCAACCATTCGCAGCTTTGCCCGGTGACCGTAATACTGAAGACAAGAAACATATCAGCCATATTGTAGGATCGGTGGCCCTAATTATAAAGTCGATATTAAACTTGCACAAATCTTCCAACCTGAGCAAGGTAACAGATACATAAACGCCAGAGGACCTCACCAGTCTGCATGTATCCACGTCCCTGTTAAGTGACACCTAGTGCTATGCATGATGATCAAGGAAATAAGCAGTGGCTACCCTAGCAAAGGACAAAAGTCTTTTTACCAGAAAAGTTCTCCATCTGCAGAACGGATTACACAATGGACAATAATAGAGTCTAAAAATGGCTTAACCAGCAATATATACCGTAAAGGCTTCCACAACGTCACTTCCGGCATGGACAAATTCTTCATGGAGGTTTCGAACTCTTTCCGGATGGTCTATAACCACTTCCGGTGTAAAGGCCCCGGATTTGAGAAAGCCTCTTCTCTCCAGCTCCCACATGTATCCTTCCGCGCAGAGGACGTTCTCCCCATCTCGTAGTCTTTCCACCAAACCTTTCACTTGAAATATAATGGGTTTTTTTTAGAGAAACAGAACACACGACACAGAGGATAAGGACTGGTCGCTGAAGCCTTTCTTGTGAAAGAAGATATTCACTCAGAGTCTGCGCCCTGCCCTTGACTGCGGCATACGTAGAGTTAGTTATACCCTACCTCAGCAAGATAGTTCTTTTAAAACCAACGTAGCGATGACACCTAGGTATAAACTACTACACCATGTCAGTTGAACAGGTCAGTTAGGTTTTGTCGAGCAAACGTTGTCCTCTTACACCACCATGTAATATCAGGACCCAGTGTCATTAATACGTAGATCGACGTTAGTGATGTCAATCACTGGATTGTCTCGTCCAGCCGTATAACTGAGTTCGGGTTTAAACAACAAACATAAGCAAGTGTGAAAACTACTTGACCATGCAGAATTTAGTTTAGTCAGATTATACAGAACTTCTTGCTTACTTGACCATTGGCCATTTCATAACATCTGTAAAACGATCTCACCAGATCTATTTGGAAGTATTCCATGGAAATGCCAATGATATTTGTGAAGTAAACTATAGATAAATAACCAGCAGAGCCGTTTATACAAAACATTACAGCACTCCTGTTCTACTGAGCTGCTAAATATACCAGCTGATTGTATTTGTCGAAGTTTGAGATTCTGAAGAGCCGAAGTATAGTGCACAGCACAAGACACCTGCATGTTGTCTGGGTGCCATGTGTCCTAAACAACATCGAGTAACATATTCAACTAGTCTGTCATACAGACCCTGGAAAATTAAACATATCCAAGAAAGCCCTTATGTTCAAGTCTAGATTATGTGGCAAGTCTAGATTAGCCAAAGATTCTAGGGCTCCTTATCACTATACATTATTTTATTTTTGTATTATGACTGTAAAATATGTTCATTTCAGAGACTAGTTGTTAGTTTAGGGCTCTCACGAGTACTCGGGTACTCGGGGCCGAGTCGGTAAAGCAGGACTCGAGTCCAATTGAATGGACTCGAGGACTCGCAGGGAGATATCTCTAAACATCTCATGCAATAAAGATGGATGATCGTGAGAAAAATCCAATGTCTGGACGCATTTTTATCTTGATTTAGTGGCCAAAATACGAAATGCCGTCTTTGTGGCGTTTCCCTTAGTTACGCAAGCATTTGTCCTGTAAGCACCCACAATAAGCACTGTGGACAGAAAAACAGCTCAACAAGCAACGCTGGGGCAGTTTGGTAAGTTTGATAGCAAAGTCGCAAGCCTGTTGACAGGAAATGGTATGAAGGTATTACGCAAAAAGCAATGCTTATGCGCGTTAAGGATATGCGACCATTAAGTCTTGTTAAAGGGAGGGTTTCAGGGCTTTCTGTGAACCATAGAACCCAAATTACCAGGTCCCATGTACTGCGACAATTCACAACTACCTCATAAAGTCGTATGAAGTTTGCAAGCTGGGAGAACAAAATATCAGTACCCAAAACAGTACCTGCCCGTTGCCCTAACTACGGACGCGTGGACAAGCGTAGCCACTCACGGCTGTATCACTGTCCCTGACCACTATACCTATGTTTGAACAACTTGTTTTCTACATAGATATTCAGTCGTTCTTATCCAGCGTATTTCAGTATTACATATTCAACAATCAACACATACATACGCATCTCAAAATAACATTCACACTTGGAGACCTATATCCTTAATAGTGAAATCACAATGAATACCATTGACGTGATCTCCGTTCAGCAGAGTTTCGGAAGAAGAAATACAGCGTAGTGTTACTCAATAAAATTAGTCTTTAGTTTGAAACCAAACCGTTTTCACTATAAGAAGTCAATGAAATAAACATCAATCCTGTTTTACATATTCTTTAAGTTCCATAGTCGATCCATCTTTACAAGATACTAGTATCTAATGCAGCACCAATCAATGAATGCTTTATCTATTTATCTTCCAGCTTTGGAACGTGTTTTACCGCATTTTAACCGTGATTAAGGTTAATTGATTATGTGACTTATCGTCCAGGTGAATGTTTAAAAGTTGCTAATATGTCCTAACTGCAACGACATATTAATATTAGATAATCTTGAAAGCGCAGTCAAACTTAAAACCAAAAGAAAAGAGAAGTAGATTGATTGGTTTCTTTTCCAGGACACATCCAATCATATTACAGCATTTATAGGCGTAATAAGGTATCACCGGCCCAGCTCATGAATATTAATCACATAATTGATCGCGTAGAACTGGGTCACAGTAACACTTACGTTGCCTTCACCTTCTGTTTGCAAATAAAAGGTAATAGATACTTCCATTGACATTGAATATCAATTGCTTTATTCAGGAACGTTTGGATTCACATATACATGTTGCATTATTCGTAGATTGGAAGTTGGAACAGCTGCGTGTATGCTTGAATGTTGGTTTAAGATAAGCATCCAAATTGTCGGGTTCTCGGGTCCGAGTCGGGTCTGACACCTCGAGTACTCGAGTCCCAAATTTTGGACTCATGAGAGCCCTAGTTGTTAGTCTAATATGCAACGAAAGTCCTAACAACTCAATCAAATCCTGTGCTGAGCGTCTGGGGTTAAAGGTTAAACTAAGCGTACATTGCAGCTACAAGTACCATCACGTGACCTATTTCAGTGTTATTGTCATATGTCACAGACAATCTGCCGTGATATAACTGGAATAACTGCTGGGATGATCTCAGAGCAAAACAGTATTTACTGAAACACTCTTCAGTTATCACAATTAGCGTCCATGTAAACTGCCAGTAATCTGGATCTGCCCCAGATATCCTTGACATAGTCAACCAGTTCTCGCCGCTTCCATGTAACCCGGATTCTGTACTGAGTGCGGCAATTGCCGTAAAGCCAGTAAACATCGTGCCAGCATTTTGTGCCAATGTCAAAATATCGCCTGAATTTCACATGCGTCAAGGTGCAATTCTCTCCATCACTGGTATACAGTTTCCGTTCTTACATATCCTGGAATTCCAACTCGGAATTTTCAGTGGGTCGGTTCTAGTGAAGTATATTGATTTGTATTGTTCAATTATCCAACAGATTATGTTTGGAGAATATACAGTACATCGACATGAGTACAATTCCTGGCGACTGTGGGAGAAATACTTATGTGTTGCACCTGTAACTCTGTTTCCCAATCCAACACTAGACAAGGTGTGTACCAACTGTATACCTGGTACAAACAGCACATGTCAAACAACGTGTACCAGTGCACATAGTTCAGTTGGTATCTGGGGATAAGTTTGAACTCATCCATGTTGTAGGCATTTCAACAATGGACACGCTAATAGAGTCCTGGTATTCTTTAATCAAAACAAAAAATATTTCAGATATTTCAGTTGTCTATGTACGACCCATTCTCGTCTGACATGTGTCAGTTTTTCAGCTAAGTGGCGCTGTTCTGTAAAGTACCCGGCTTATGTCGGTCGAGCACAAAGAAAACAAAAGAGACTCTTCCGTACAGGAATTGCACCGTACAGGAAGAATGTGCACCCCCCTTTCTCTAAAAGCTGTATCCTCCTCTGGTTATTATTAACGTAATGAGAAAACATCTTGAGAGGAGAGCAAAATCGCAGCCTTGGCAAACCAGTAAAAAATGTAAAAGACATCAGAAATGGGACAAGATTAAAATGAATATAGCAACTGCTTTACATTACATTCGATTGCGTGTGACGTAATATACGTGTCCCATATAAGCATATAACACAAAGTTATTTGGCGCTGAAGACTTTAAGATTGTTGTTAATAATCACAAGACATGACAAGACAAATTAAGAACATTGGTGACAGAGGTTCTGACAACCATGTTTGTGTGAGAGAAACAACTCTAGCAGCTACCCCTCTGTGTCAGCACGGCTCCCTGCCGTTATCGACCACAACACGGCCACGTTTCATCACCAGTGAATACACTGTACATTTTTTAAATTACATGAAAACAGAGTTCTGGAGGGTGAATTTGTTTGGCTGACCCTCCAGCGCATTTGTCTGAATGTCAGAAACAGCCGTATATGTATTCATGAGTTAGCGAAAACTGAGATCAAAATGAATAAATATATACATTTACGGAAAGTAACGGTTTACTATGTCCGTTGTTTTCGAGTTACTGCAGAAATGTGCTGGATACATATGCTTACCGTGCTATGTGGCATAACGGCAAGGGCAGTAAGAGTAAGAGGCAGTCCTACAGGTGTTAACCTGATGGAGTGTGTTGGTGACCTCACTTACCTGTCGATGCCATGTTGTGTCTGTCTCCACCGGACGCTATAGTCCTTCTGGTTTTGTGTGCCCACCCCCGTGTGATAATGGTAGGTCCCATGTCACGTGTTAGTCTATTGTTTCCTGGTAACAAAACGTCACTATTTACTCAATTGACCAACGTAAACCTTATCCACTTAACCCTTAAATTTCAATAAAATATGTTTTAAAACCAAACAACTGATTGAAATGGAAAACCTATATAATAATGGACCATATGATAATGGACAGGCAGGATATGGACAAAAACATCCGTTTTTGCCCACTATGTAGTTTAAATGCTATAGAAAATGAAATTCATTTTATTTTTGTTTGTCCTGTTTATCATGATATACGTGTTAAATATGTTCCTTATTTACACGTGGGCACTATCAGTCACGGATAGACTCTTTTAAGAATGCTACAGTCCTCTGATGTCTTACTGTTAAAAAAAACTGGCAAATTTTGTGAAAAACGCTGTCAGTCTACGATCGTCATATCTTTAAAATTTAGGAAATGCAGCACCAATTGTAAATATTTGAATGTAATATGTACGTGGGCCTGAGGCCTTATTACTGAAATAAATACATGAAATGGACCATGCATTATTTGTTCATCTGTTTATGTATTGTAAATGAGAGGGGAAAATGCAGTGAAAGCTATGTTTGCACACTAAAGGAATGAGAAACAATAACGTGCCTGCTGATTATATGCTTTTCAGCATCAGCATTTGACACAATGATGTGCATTACATTGTTGGTATTTGAAGTTTTACGGAATGTCAGAAACCTGCAGCTGGTACAAAATGCAATAATCTACTGGCAATTGGGAAGAAATACTAAGATGTATAAATCCGTTGTCGAAGTAATTTAGAAAATATTTAAAGAAGATTTACAGATTGTGCACGTGTGGGCAAATTGTACACGTGTGAGTGGTGAACGCTTTCATCACTAGACTAGTCCCAAAACACCTGCGTCGACACTCATGCCCTCGATCATTCAGTATTGTCTCTATCTATTAGGCCACATTGTTCAATGTCTAGACAAGAATTTTAATCGACACTGTGGTCGTATTTTCCCTTAAGTCTCATTAATGGTCACGGGAAAGGCAGCTGACATTATGTCTTCCTCCACATCTGGAGAAGATAGTTACGTTCAGCGCTCCAAACATTAGCAGGGATCGTGGAATGACTGAGCTAATTTTGACCGTTCTCCCGAAATAGGCCACTTGATGTGACACGGCTTGCCCTACACTAGGACCATTATCTTCGTCGTCGTCTTCTGTAGGAAATCTCACTTGTAACTGTAATCTGGCCGCAGTTTGATCGATAGCTTCCTCGTTACACCTAAATCTCCTTTCAAGCTGACCTCGTCTTCTTTATGCAATATGTCATACACCCAGGTACAAAACGACAGATCCATGAACAGATTTTTCTGACATCCGTATGTTTACATAACATACACGTGTAATACGTCATACACCCGGGTACATCAGGACATATTCCTGTACAGATTTTTCTGAAGTCCGTATGTTTACATAACATACACGTGTAATACGTCATACACCCGGGTACACCACGACACATTCCTGTACAGATTGCTCTGACGTCCGTATGTTTACATAACATACACGTCATACACCCGTACGTACACCCGGGTTGCACGTCCGTACGACACATTCCTGTACAGATTGCTCTGACGTCCGTATGTTTACATAACATACACGTGTAATACGTCATACATCCGGGTACACCACGACACATTCCTGTACAGATTGCTCTGACGTCCGCATGTTTACATAACATACACGTGTAATACGTCATACACCCGGGTACACCACGACACATTCCTGTACAGATTGCTCTGACGTCCGTATGTTTACATAACATACACGTGTAATACGTCATACACCCGGGTACACTACGACACATTCCTGTACAGATTGCTCTGAAGTCCGTATGTTTACATAACATACGCGTGTAATACGTCATACACCCGGGTACATCAGGATATATTCCTGTACAGATTGCTCTGACGTCCGTATGTTTACATAACATACACGTGTAATACGTCATACACCCGGGTACAAAACGACACATTCCTGTACAGATTGCTCTGACGTCCGCATGTTTACATAACATACACGTGTAATACGTCATACATCCGGGTACATCAGGACATATTCCTGTACAGATTGCTCTGAAGTCCGTATGTTTACATAACATACACGTGTAATACGTCATACACCCGGGTACATCAGGACATATTCCTGTACAGATTTCTCTGAAGTCCGTATGTTTACATAACATACACGTGTAATACGTCATACACCCGGGTACACCACGACACATTCCTGTACAGATTTCTCTGAAGTCCGTATGTTTACATAACATACACGTGTAATACGTTATACACCCGGGTACATCAGGACATATTCCTGTACAGATTGCTCTGAAGTCCGTATGTTTACATAACATACACGTGTAATACGTCATACACCCGGGTACACCACGACACATTCCTGTACAGATTGCTCTGACGTCCGCATGTTTACATAACATACACGTGTAATACGTCATACACCCGGGTACACCACGACACATTCCTGTACAGATTGCTCTGACGTCCGCATGTTTACATAACATACACGTGTAATACGTCATACCCCACCCGGGTACACCACGGTACATCAGTCCGACATATTCCTGTACAGATTTTTCTGAAGTCCGTATGTTTACATAACATACACGTGTAATACGTCATACATATTCCTGTACGGATTTTCCTGAAGTACATCAGGACACATCCCTGTACAGATTGCTCTGACGTCCGTATGTTTACATAACATACACGTGTAATACGTCATACACCCGGGTACATCAGGACATATTCCTGAACAGATTGCTCTGAAGTCCGTATGTTTACATAACATACACGTGTAATACGTTATACACCCGGGTACATCAGGACATATTCCTGTACAGATTGCTCTGACGTCCGTATGTTTACATAACATACACGTGTAATACGTCATACACCCGGGTACATCAGGACATATTCCTGAACAGATTGCTCTGAAGTCCGTATGTTTACATAACATACACGTGTAATACGTAATACACCCGGGTACACCTCGACACATTCCTGTACAGATTGCTCTGACGTCCGCATGTTTACATAACATACACGTGTAAAACGTCATACACCCGGGTACACCACGACACATTCCTGTACAGATTGCTCTGACGTCCGCATGTTTACATATGATGCACATGTTGTACGCCATACACCCAGATACGACACAATAGATACTTGTACAGAATACACTGACGTGCGCGTGCGTACGTACCATGTACGTGTAATACGACATACACCTAGATACAACACAATAGAGCATTGTACAGAATACACTGACGTGCGCATGCGTACGTACCTTGTACGTGTAATACGCCATACACCCAGATACAACACAATATATCCTTGTACAGAATACACTGACCTACACCAAACGCCAAAAAGAACGCTACTCTCCTACCTTTATGAATTACTAAAAGACTATCAAAGATATGTTAGAAGGTCTTAGTTTACAAGAAAGCTGAACAACACAACTTTATGCAAATCACGAAAAAAATTCTCAAATGCATTCATATTTAGGTGAAATGCATCTTTTTCCGAAGGGTTCAATTGTCCTATTTTCGACCATGCCGAAATAAACCAATAACAGTGATTTAGATGTCCAAAAGAAGGGTCGAAATAAAATTCTGCTTTGAGACAAAAATACACCATTTAAAGTCACCATTTTTCAACTATAAAAACAAGAAACAGCTGTTGTCGAGCGTTTAAATTGTAAAATAATCATTCCTATGATTTCAGTCTTTTAAAACATTTACAGCTGACTTGTATTAGTACAAACAAGTAAAACGTGTCTTTGATATTGTGAAAAAGTGTTTAGGAATATCTAAAATTATCTTTTTTAACATGTTTGATTGCAAAGTAACATTTTTCCATTTTCTGTTACACATAGCAATATCAATCGCCAAAATGTAGCAATATTCAAGCAGTATTTGCATCCATTTCACGTGTAGAATGATTCTATAGGGTATAAAGAGAGCCTAGAATGCATGATATGATATACAAGTACGAGAAATATGCCACGATTAACAGCTGAAGAGAGAGAAGGAGCGATTGAGATGGCGCAAATGGGGTCGACATACAATCCTGTTGCCAGCGCCCTCGGATGCCACCGTATCACGGTTATAAAACTTATTCAGACAGACTGGGGTCACCCTAGACAGACCAAGAAGTGGACGTCCACGCATCACAACGCCAGCTGAAGATAGGTACCTCCGTCACTAAGGAAGTAGGGTAACGTTTCTTTTGGCGTTTAGTGCATGTACACTCACGTGCAAAAGAAACGTCCCCATGTATTTTATCGTCTCTCAAATAGCAATGACAAACACAATAAGTATGTTCAAGGTTTCATATCAACAAACAAAATATATTGTACAATTCGGTAGGTTAACATAGAGATCAGCTCGATTCAGCATGTTTTCAATCGACGGTTGATTGTCTGGTTTTCCATCACATGCCAACAGACACATCACAGCATAAATTGTTCCAAAGGGCAGGAAAGTCTCTGGTAACGCGTGTGACCACCTCCGGCGGTCACAGAGTGGGCAAGTCATCTGATCACGTGATCTTGTACCTGTCGCCATTCTTCCTGCAGGGCCTGAATCAACGCATTCCTTGTCAACGGAGGCGGTAAAGGCTTTCGGATGCAACGTCCGAGACGGTCCAACGGGTGCTCTATAAGAGATATGTCTGGAGATTTTGCTGGCTAAGGCAAAACGCCAATATTGTTGGTGGTTAAGAAGTTCCTTGTGGCAACAGCTGTATGAGGAGGAGCATTGTCCTGTTGGAACAAGGTTCGTGGTTTTCTTTGAAAAAAGGCAGTACAACAGGCCGCAAAACGAGGTCAATATATCGAATTGCATTCAAATTTCGTTCAGTGATAACTAGTTCTGTCTTCTGGTTGCCACAAATGACTCCCAAGCCATCACACTCGCACCTCCATGGGGC